CCCCAAAACCCCAAAACCCCAAAACCCCATAAGATGAGAATAGAATGAGTATTAAATAGTATTAAATTAAAGGTTCATATCCAAATTAAGATGGAGAATTACGTTGCACTCTCAGTCAAGCAGCTCTGGGATAAATACAAATTTTAGCAAGAAATTGATTCTGGAGCTTTTGGAGTTGTTTACAAAGTTAAGAATACCTAAGATAACAAATTTTACGCTATGAAAGTTTAAAATTTGGAACGATTATTGGCTAAAGAACCAAATAACATCAGCAATGAAATGGTACGCATTATCCGAGAGATTAACACATTCAAGCTAAGCCATGCAAACATTACCAAGTTCTATGAATCCTACTTCACCTTTGACGATTAATTCGCAATTATTACAGAACTCGCAGAGTAAAACCTTCGCAAGTATAGAGATAACACAGAACTGACTAATGCTAAGATCGCTGATATAATGATGCAAATTACAAAAGGAACAATACATATTCATAACTAAAATGTCATGCACAGAGATTTAAGTCCAGACAACATTTTGGTCTTTGAAAATGGCTAGAAATTTAAAATCTGCGACTTTGGATTGTCATAGTTGCAGACAAATTCTAAAAGTTGTGTTGGGAAACCACAATTTAATGCTCCAGAGATGGGACAATGTGATGAATTCAGTTACAACAGCTAAGTTGATATCTGGTCGCTAGGAATGATACTCTTCTACCTGTGCACTAAGAAATATAAATACTAAGGCAAAATAATATCAGAGTTAAAGTAAAAAGATTAGACAATGATTATCAATCTTGAAGGAGAACGGAAGGAATTCGAACATCTTCTTAACGAAATGCTTCAATTCAATCCTGCAAAGTGAATAGATGCCAAATAAGTGCTCTTTGAACTTTCCAAGCTTAGCAATCAACCATTGGACAAGCATTTAGAAATAGAAGAAGCAAAGCAAGGCCATTAAAGTTCAACTAATTATGATAGGAGAAATGCGTTTGCTTTGACAATTTAATCACATAATGCTGTTGTGTATGAAATTATAGCCAAATTAGGAGAGTTTAATTATGGGATAATAGATAAGATTCACCAAAATCCAAACAGAATCTTCATGCCTCTTGTTTAATATGAAGATGGTAGTATGTATCAAGGTTAATATGATACTGTAACCAATTAATGAGATGGAAGAGGTAGATATATTCATAGAGATGGAGAAGTTTATGATGGATTGTGGAAGAATAATTAATAAGATGGATAAGGAAGATTAATTTATGATGATGGAGGTTATTACATTGGTGAGTGGAAGGATGATAAAAAGAATGGATTTGGCAAATATTATGATGAAAGTGGAAGCTATTATGAGGGATATTGGGTAAATAATAAAAAAGAAGGGTTGGGTTTGTATAAATGCATTGGAGGTGATTAATACTATGGATAATGGGTGAATGACAAGAGATAAGGTGTCGGAGTATACACATTCAAGAATAGAGATATTCATCTTGGATAGTGGATGAATGGTAAAGATGATGGAGTACTGATATATATTCCAAGTGATGGCGGATAAATAGAAATTGATAAATATGAGGATGATG